TTACATGTATTGGCATTCAATTAATACATGTATCATAATATTACACTTTTGGACATACAGTATTACATTGATATCGATATGATAATTTACAGTCCATGTAGAAATACGCATATACAGCATATCCAGTAGCACACGCATTCTTATTAAAGGTTTGCAAAAGCTTAATTAGTTTTAAAACAATTTCTTGTAAACTATATGACAGGCAAGCAATCTAGTATTTTTATGAAATTCTAAAACATTTCCATTTAATATATTCCAGTCGAGATCAGATTTATTTAGATCGGACAAATTACATTTTTCAACATCACCATCTTTTCCTTAAATATTGCAATTCCGTTTAATTTTTAATAATTTAATTCTGGCTGTAACGCTGTATTTGATTGGATAAAAAATTTACTTTGATCGTATAAAATGGGTTGCCTACGTCACAATGACGTTCATCAAAAACGTATCGATCCGCCTGGCGTTGCATTCAAATTTTGTACAAATTGAAGTAATTTTTAAGGACAATCATCTTTTTTTTAACACCAAATGAATGAAAATTAAATTATAAGGAATGAAATTAATAGCTACCCAGTTTATACGGTATAAAGTGGGTTGGAACAGTTTACGCTTTTTTATAAACCGCTTCGCGGTTTATAAAGCGTAAACTGCCCCAATCCAGTTTATACCGTAAAAAATGGGTAGCTATTAAATTCATTCCTTAATTAAGAATATGGTCATGTAATATTAATTTCTTTTATGGATGCAGAATGTTTTTTAAAGATTTTATCTAGATTTAAAGACATTAACAAGTCATGATTTTCATATTCATAAATATTTTTAAATAAGCAAAATTTCTTCTTCTTGATATGTTTTATGAGTATACATGTAATGCATTAATGACAGCAAATTCGAAACTATTTCTCATTTACAACAAAAAAATTTTAACACTTTATTGACCACTTTCCTTTCAGATGTAATATAAAGTGTTTATCTGTTCACAAATCGATCAAAAAAGCACATTCAAACAAAATTCGTCTTAGAAAAGTACGATAGATTGTAAATGAATTAGAAACATGTACCTATTTAAAAAAAATGATAGACACATCTTACGCCATATGACAGTTACTCCTTTGAAATAGGGAAAAAAACAGTATTATACAAACGATATTTTAATTACTGGAACATTTTACTTTTTTCTTTTTATGATATTTATATTTAATTAAAGGGGAAATTAAAGTAAAAGATGCATCGCCTTAATTAATTGATGGTATAATTATCGAATATTTTTCATCATTGAAAATATATTAAATGTATATTGTTTGAGGAGTTTTATTAAAACATTATAGGTTTCAAAACAAAAAAAAAAATATCAAGGACCCAGCAGCGTTTTTAAAAAGTATGCGGGGGAGCGGAAAGGGGGGTGGGGGTAGGTAATTGAGTAACCAAAATATTAAGCAAACTTTGACAGTACAAGAAAAGAAATACTGAAAGTGCAGGACAACCTAAATTACAACTCAATTTTAAACAGAAAACACTATTACTGCAAAAAGCGGTAGGGTTGCAGTCCATCCCCCATACTACGCGTGCCTGTTTTTTTTTTTTTTAACTCTGGCAGTTCTTAATTTCTTACCTAGTTTCACAATTTAAAATTCATAGTTACAAATTTCTAGTTCATCCCACCTTTTACGGAAAAAAGTCTGCATCCTCTCTGGTTTTTACTACCTTTCTATTTGCTAGCGCTCTCGAGCGCTAGCAACTACGTTAGTCTATATTTCTGGAATACGCATGCTCGACTTCACGGTCGAGCATTCTGGGAAAACTACTGTAGATAGACTGTGCGATAACAATTTCGTTTTGTCATACAAATATAGATATGATCAGAATTTACACTAGCCTTTCCTGTCTGATATGTGCGAGTAGTATAAAGGGGTTTTTTTCGTACCTGGTTTATACGCCCTGTTTTGGCGATACGCCCTGTTTTCGCTATACGCCTGGTTCTATAAAAGGATATGAGGAATATTGGTTTTCCGATAAACGAAACAGCGGGCAGTCTTTTATGACCCTGGTTTTGCTATACGCCCTGTTTTCACGATACGCCTTATTTTTAACAAGGATGTATAAGGAAACTTAATGTTGAATATTAGTTTTCTAATAAAGAAAACAGCATGCAGTCTTTCGGGACCCTGGTTGTGCTATACGCCCTGTTTTCACTATGAGATGGTGTTTTCGGAATCTTATACATTTTTTTCCTCACTATACTAGAGCAATTCTTAACACCTTGTTTACAATAGAAACTTGTAGTATAATTAAACTGAATAGAATGAAATACACAGTTGAACCAGGATTAAACGAAGCACTTAATTTCAGTAAAAATTTCTAAACGTTCAAAGATATACATTTGATTTTAGAATGATTTCATAAAGGAAAACAGCAGAATGTGATTATTAAAAGTATCTACATACTTCGTAATAAAAATGATGTTCACAATCAATTATTACCCATTGCTACAGAAAATTTCAAACCGTTAGGTGAAATGCAGTTAACCCTCCAAAGAGAAAGTAACTGTCACCGATTTTGATCAGAACTCGTAAGAAATTGTAGGAAAGTACAATGCAATGCAAGAGAAGAAGATTTGACATCTCATAGGTAAAGTCAGTTAATTAAATCTGAGTAGACAAGCAACGACCATAAGAAGGTGAGAAAAAGTTATTGTTCCGAATATCTTTTCAACTAGACATTACATTAACAACTCTTTTATTATGGAATCTCTTTCCCTTTGAGAAATCGTGGAATGAATCAATAATCGTGAATACCGTTATATAACAAAAGTATTTTATATCAAAAGATAAGAAAATGTACTTGACCCCCTATGGGTTAAAACAGGTAATTAAATGTGGTCTTCAACGGAAGGTGAGAAAAAAGTTATTTTTACGAGTAACGGTCCCAAGTATGCGTTATATTAACGACTTGTAAGACATAAAAGACTTTTTCTATTATTATGGAATTTCTTCTTTTAGAATATTGTGGGAAATCGGAAAACTAATCAATAAGGGCGAATCTGAATAAAAGAAACAGATGCAAACCAACACAAATATTACTGATCATGTATCGTATGTTTACCGAAGTTCTTCCTTTGCGAGATCTAGCTAGTTTCTCACTGGAGTTAAGTTTGTTTGACAGAGAGAAGCAGATTTACGAAGATGTATATTATTACATCAAAAAATCTAGACAAAGTGAAAGACCACAATTGCTATCGAGAATCGCGCGTAATTTAATGATTACACAAGAGGCCATCAATTGCAGAGTCTGGATAGACCGAGGACAAACAGTCGAGGACCTGGATTTGCCGTGGCACGAGACCTCTACATGCCATATGGGATGTAATATCATTGAATGCTTTCGAGAAATATTCTCAGAATATTTCGACGAGGAACGATTTTTCACTCCGGAACATTTCTTTAAAAGAATGGACATAGCTGTTAGAAAAATGCGCCGACGTCACCGCCAGGAATTAAGCTGGACTGTGATTGGATATAGATGACATCATATAGTTGAACAACTTTTGACCGATGACATCACAGCCTGGATATTATTTAAAACCTTCACACTAGTCATTTTCAGTACGACTTTAATCATGTTCCTGAGTGAGCGAATCACTTTCACGACTGGCATCTACCGGAAAGAGAAGAGAATAAGACTGAACAATGTGGACCAACCGGAAAAGAAAATATCCTTCTCCGCCTCCGAGTGGTTGCTGCTGATAAACATTATCAGTGAAATTCACGCGCATGTAAAGAAACTGAGAGAAAACTCTTCAACGCCGTCTAAGACTTGGGACTTACAGTGAAACGAGGAGGGAAACAAGCGAGTAACGGCGAAGAGATTCCCCGATAGCAACGTTATCATCGTGGACTTTAGAGTGTTTAATTTCCACGTAGATCCAGCCCTTCCTACTAAATTTGGCATCGCACTCAACGAAAATGAATGGGGAAAATTCCAAGAGACATATCAAGAAGTCGAGCAGATGGATCAGTGCATGAAATCCATCATCACGAAAATTCTGAGGAAGATGGTTTCGTGTAAATCTAAGGAACGTTGCCACGGATGCCTGACGGATCATCCCAGCCAGAAACAGCACATGGAAATGGGCTGCCTATCTTCGTGGGAGGAAAAGAGGGACATGTACCTTCAAGATTGTATGAACAATATTCCGGAAGATGTCATTGTGAGGGAGTTCGAGGAAATCAATGGGGATGAATCGGACGGGGAGAAATACCTGCGCGATGCTAGGGAGGACCAGGCCTTTCAATCTGAACTGTCTAAATTATCTGAGTGATTTTTTTTTTCTGTTGGACTATACTTTTTACTGTGTATATAACAGTGACGTTTTATGTAAAGAGACTCTGAGAATTATTGTACTATGTATATTTTTTCCTCATCATTAAATAAAATCTGTCACTCAATATATTTTTTTTCTTATCATTAAATAAAATCTGTCACACAGGTGTTATCAGTTTATTGTACTATATAGAAGGAGAGATAAAGCTCAAAGATTGTATAATGTATAAAGAATGCGGTACACAAAAACATCGTTTTGGATCAAGTCATTACAAAAGAGTCGTTGAAATACAGATAGATTACAGATTCTACTCATTACTAGCATGAATAATATACAATACAGTCCACACGTTTGACTAGCTACGTCTTGCATTATAAGCGTATTATATGTGTATTATATGTACATGAAAATGAATTGCGAGCAGCAAAGGAGTGTATCTGAGACGGCAAACTTCTCAGGTCCCTACCATAACTATCAAATACGTAACAGTGTTGAGAAGAACTAAAATAGAGTGCTATCCAGTGTTCTCCGGCTGTAGTAGAAAATGTAGTGTTAACGATATAAGCACGGGGATAATGGTCAACATTCAAAGGTAAATTATCCGGAGAAAATACACCCTCAAACTGGGAAGCTAAAACTAAATCTAAACGACATAGGTCAGAAATGAGGTATCCGTTCATGATATAAAGTTAAGAATTACATTTCTAGTATTGTCTATCTCAAATAAAGAGGGGAATTCAGCATACAGGATACAGGAAACGGTTTCTGTCAGTGCCTGCTCGAAGGCTAGTTCTAGTCGAACGCTTGCTTGATTCATTAAAGAAAGGGTATCTGTGTTTCCAAACTGGGGTTGTAACGAAAAGCCGTAAAGGCAGTAGCCATACTTCCAATCGTCTCGATCAATATTGTTTCCGGAATCGATTTGGGATTTGTCGACAATATCAAATAAACTGTGGTAAGCTGAGATGTAACAGTTTTCTTCTATTTTATAAGGCTGCCCGGGAACACTCACATTATTGACAAATACGCCGACATGACGAGCGCCAAAGGTTTGAAAATTAAAAGGGTTTTTCACATAACTCCCTGTCTGGGCCTCCGTAGAGACCAGTCCGAGAACGATTTTACTGGGACAGCGGGTCAAATAAATGTTATCCCAGATGAATCGGGTTTGTCCTGCAGCAATAGAGGCCACTTTTACGTCTGTGTTAATCAAGGGATATTTAGCTGTAGTCGTTTCTAAAGCCTTTGTGTGCCCCACTATGATACCTGGCGACACCTGTACTCTGCAAACCCGGAATATGACGTCATCAAAGACAATTTTGAACTGCGGATCCGCCTCGGCGGACATGAGACAGAACGACGAGTTTTGTCTATACAATTTGATGTTAACGTCTACTCCGTTTAACACAAAACAATCGAGTCGACACACATCTTCTAAAATGGGCCCTTCTAAATCAAAAGACGAACTTTCTTTACAGAAAACGGTGCGCGAGTACAACCCGGAATTAGCACCGTTAGGGTCCGCGACATCCATATAACCAGCATCATCCTTGAAAAACAAGCTACATTGAAGCTGGGATTGTTTTGCCTCTTCTCCGTAATTTAACAAATTCTGTAGGTAAGCTTTATAAGCATAGGCCGCCCCGCCACTACTCGGGAACTGTTTCCCGTTTAACGAAATGTCCACCTGATTAAAGAAACTGTGCAAAGAATTATTCACAGGACCGACTTTCTCGTCCGCCTCAAGAGCTGAACCATTCGCTTTGAGGATTCGCGCTTTAACATATAACAAACTTTTTTTAAAGTCCAGATAATCTCCTGTCCCGGGTACGCTGAATTCTACGGGTCCGTTTTCGCTTATCTGAGAAACGGGTCTATAATCTACGTAATAGTTACGAGTCACAGCTGTCTGCGTCACTGGTAAATTAAACAACAGTAGTTCCCTGGGCAATCCCTCCTGAATGTCTTCGTATGCGTGACTCGTCATTTTGGATCTTAACTGTGAGAAGTCTTCTCTGCCCTTTTATGCGCAGAGAAATCGCGTCTCGATGCCAGCACTAAGCTCTGATCGATGTAAGGCCAAATTCTTTTCAGGTACTGCCATTGAATGGGGTTTAATTGTATTCCTTTAATCGTTGGTTTATTATTCAAAAAACGTCTAAAATCAATTAGAACGGAGCCCTGATAAACGCAGACGCTAACATGCACCGCCTCAGTCAAAGGAAACGATTTTAAAAAATCGCAGAGAGTCGCGTTAAAAGCTCTGGTATCGTTAACGGTCAGGGGAGAGGCCTGTGTGTTATTCCAAATGTCTATCGTCATTCCAAATACAATGAAAAACGGCATCAGCAGTAACAAGACTCCGGTGACTTTGACGGCTCTCAGAGGTCTTGCGTATTGTTTCTTTCTAATCATGAGATCCGACGCGACATTTCTTTCGGGTTCCATCTTAATAATCAAAATTATCGGAATGTTTAGCTTTTTTACACGTCCTTTTCCTCTTTTTAGGCTTTACGCGACGCAATTCTGACTTGGCTTGTTGTAAATCTCGTTGTGTGGGCGAGACGAGGGTGATTTCTGGTGAGGGACTTTTCCCCCCACCTCGCAAGTTGCGACCGGAATCAATGGGTACTATGGCAGTGGTATTAATGCTGCCGTTTCCCAAGTTCCCCCCACTCTGTCGTAACGAATTATGTGAAATAGGCGTAGCGGCCGTACTAACAAAAAAATCTGTCCATTTCTTCGTGTCTGCCACATACACTTTCGAAGAGCGCATGCTTAAATGAAAGGGTATTTTTTAAAATGAAGCACAAAAGTCACCTTTGGTTTTGTTAGTACTGGGCTCTCCAGATATACTCTGATGGAATGAAAATCGGTCACGACGATAGGAATATACATGATGCGCTGGAACGCGACGTCATTTTGTCCACTCTGTAACCTCATTCTCTTTAATAAAGGTTTCTTCTCACCCCCTACCAGTGTATCTGAACAGATATCCGACAGTATTAATATTTCACATTCCCGTTCTACTTCAATACTCATTTCGCAAAGCCCCACGTACCACCGACCCCTTAACCTAGTGTTCGGCGTGTGAACGCGGAAATCATTAGGCGTATTATTTGGATAATAATTTAAAAAGTCTGTCTCTGAAATGACCATGTAATAATCCATTTCTTTAAACCAGCTCTTGTACTTCGCTCTCTGGCATCCAACTATTAAAACTTCGAGGGAAATTCAACCACTTAATAAGAACATAAGTCTGATTATTTCGACGTCTTTTACGCAATATTTTTTCCACTTCCCACAATGTGTCTTCCAGTTTTTCTATTTTCTGTAGTTCTTGTTCATAAAAACTACCCGTCAGATCTTCGTTTCTTAAATCCTGTAGCTTGTACATTGGGATATTTTGTTTCAAAAATCGGGATTTTATCTTAAACACTTCACCAGTAAATTTCTCCATGAATTTGCGTTCAAACACATGTTTCAAATGCGATATGCGCACAGTATCACCCACCTTAAATCGAAAAGACGATCGCAATTTCTTGGCCAGTTTTGATACTTTCTTTATTTTCCGCTTGACAGGAGATTTAAAATATTGCAAAATAATTTGATCGACTTCATTAGTCTCATTAATTTCACTCGGTGCTTTATAACCCAGCGATCTATGAGGGGTGTGGTTGTAATTCGTTACCAATGTCTGTAGTTTATCAATATATCTAAACGAACGCGTCTTTTTCATATATCTGTGCATTAAACTGCGCAGTGTTCTGATTACGCGTTCCACAAAGTTGCTCTTCGATTCTCCTTGAGTAGTAAAGTGTGTAACCTCGACTGATTTTAAATAATTTTGAACGAGATGTGCCGTGAATTCCTTTCCGGCATCTGTTCTTATTTTGCGAGGAAAACCCAAGTTTTGAAAACAATTTTTGAGACCTTTTAATACATTGGAGCTCGTTTTATTTTTCAGTGCGCATAGCCACACGTAACGAGTAAACACGTCGATCACAACCAATAAATACTTGATTCCATCGTTTTCTTTGGAGTGAAATCCGACATCCATTAAGTCGGCGTCATACTGATCTTTTATTCCACCCGTGAAAACCCGTGGTCTCTTAAAACGACGACGTACGGTTCTGTTTATTGAATAGACATCTTGATTTTGTAACCATTGCTTAATTCTGGGTAGCCCGATCTTATACTTATTTTCTTTTTTCACTTGTCGCCATAACTGAAGCGGACTTCTGAATGCTCCCGGTTTTTCGGGGTTGAAATACAATGAAGTTAAATAGTCTCGTAGTTCCCCGGATAAAACCATTTTTAACTAGTTTCCAAAAAATTACAACACAGTAACACCGTTTCTTTTAGATCGCATATCACAGCCCACATCTCAGGCGATAAGGAAAGATCTCGCTTCCCTTTCCTGATTTTAACGTAATACCGATTTTTTCTCCTAGACACAGTTACAAAATGAGACGTGTCAATATGACATCTGATTTTTCGTTTTCCTTTCCAGTTGACATCCACATTTTCTCTTATACCCCACATTGAGTCGTGATTCATCTTTGTGTCTGTATATAAGTCAAATGTTGAGATTAAAAAAGAAATAAATGAATGAAACCATGAACCCCAGTGATTTTGCTTTGAAGGTGCCTTTCTCTTTGTTTGTGAGTGGTCCCAGTCAGAGTGGCAAAACTCGATTTACGCAACGAATCTTAGATAATCTTGACAAAGGGATTCTATCAAAACCGCTTAAAAAGATTGTGTATGCGTATTCAAAATGGCAACCGGCTTTTCAAGAAATACGGGACCACAATTCATCTGTTATATTTTACGAGGGTTTACCCTCAAAACAAGACCTGGAGGAATTTGCGCAGAGCGGGGAATTCTTACTCGTTTTGGATGATCTAGTATACCGAGTCATTCAGTCCTTTGATTATATGGAGTTATTTACTATTCACGTACATCATATGAATATATCTGTCATATTTATTTCTCAAAATTTGTTTCTCCAAGGCAAGTACAGTCAAGTCATTTCATTAAATTGTCAATACCTCGTTCTTTTCAAAAACCCCCGAGATAATTTTCAAGTTCAATTCTTAGCTACCCAACTCTATCCGCAAAACAAGTCGTATTTTCTCGACGCATATGAAAAGGCGACGCAAAAACCTTATTCCTATTTATTGGTGGACCTATCCGTGAGCGGACGCAGAGATTATGCGCTGCGCACAGGGATATTTCCAGGTGACCTATTGATCGTTTACATGAGAAAAACATGAGCGACCGCCTTCGTCAGAACTGGGCCTTTTTAAACTTGCTAGCCACTACAAGCGTCAGACAACGCCGAGTGTTATTAAAGACGATCAGTGTCAAGCAGTTAAAGACTCTCTTAGAAGTGATTTATAACTTTATTCATAATCGTGAGATTTTACCCTCCGAATCCTTCATCAAAAATCTCTACAAGTATCGACTTATTCTGCGTCGATTAGCTAAGAAGAAGGGCAGAAACAAAAAGAATCTGTTACACCGACGCCGCGGATTTCTTCCTGTCTTACTAAAACCTTTGCTTCCAGACCTTGCCAAATATGTCCACTGAGTTCGTGTTAATACCTAAAGATGAATACCAGCGACTGAAAGCAGTACCCGCTGTGAGTACAAAAACGACACAGAAATCTCCGGAAAAACCACTGACAAAAAGACTAGGTGTCGCTGGAAGAAAGGATGCCCCACCAGGCGTGAAAATTCCCAGCAAATGGATGTCCTTCTGTTTGTAATATAACAACAGTAATAAAAGAAAGTCAGAAAACTTGTGTGTTTTAATTATTCTAATGGAAAATATGCCACACTAAAAAGCAGGTTTATTTTTATGTACACAATTATTGGATTGCGCAAAATAACTCTGATAATTTGTTATTATCAATGAAATGTTAATAACATTTTTTTTTAAAAGTAAAACAGCAAATATTGTTTTGAAAAAAAAAATATATAAAAGGTAATCGCTAAGATTCTCCATATGAGTTAAAAAGCAAATGTTTTAAAGAAAAAAAAAATACCAAACAGAAAAATCACTTCAATATAAAAATACGCTACAAAAAAAAATGAAAAATAACTATCTTGTTTTACATATAGCACATAACGCTTTATCATCAAAAATAGCATACATGTACAACCAGGAAAAAAAAATAAAATCACTGTACAGAATGAGAGAGCGTCAAAATGTCAAGTCACTCAAACTGTGTTTCGGAGTACGGATTCCTGCTTGCTGAACGCAGGAACACCACTTCAGAACTCCCCAGATCCTCAGCCATCGGCAGTTTTCTTCCTCGACTACGTCTACAACGTTTCCACTTCAACAGGACAAACACCAGGATGATCAGTAATACGGATAAAATACTGAGAGTAATGACGACTGCCCGTAACGCCACATCTACATGTAAAAATATTATTATTATTTTTTTTTAAAAAAAAACGTAATAATCATATGCATGTAATTATGCATGCCATCATAAATAGAACTTAAGTAAGTACCTTCTTTTGTTTTGTCGCTGTCTCTTGGGAAGAAATGCAGTGTTGACTGCAGGGTCGCGTTCTCCACAGTAGTGGTCTCTGTCACCATGGTGACCGTCACATTGTACGGAGTCGTAGAAGTCACTGCAGTTGTTGACGATGAGCTCTTCGAGTCTGCTGGAGGTTTTCCTGAGACGATCCGTGGTTTGCTGGATGTCTACATGAAATATTATGTCTTATTAATATGAGTTTTACAAAATATAATAATAAAAATAAATACAGAAATATACAATAATTACATCGAAAAAAAAATGAACTTACTGTGTATACACAAACTCTCCTGTTGATGATGACCAGTGAGAACGTTGCAAAGTCAGAACAATTCATCATCCCCGATCTCACGATTTCAACTGTCCGCCGCTTGGGGAGGCACTGGCTGGTGATGTCCACTTTCTCAATCTTGGGATTTGTCATTACAAGTCTCTCAGCATTCAGCAGTTTGACTCCGGCATTCTGACATGTTAGATTACCCTCAACCTTCTCACAGAGGAGAACTTTTCCCTTAGATAGGCAAGATTTCGAAAAATCTCCCTGTACCACAAACACTAAACTAAGCAGAATCATTAACGTCGCCATCCTCCTCAATAAAACACAAGAAACCTAAAAAACTAAGGGTGATGGGAAAAAGAAGGGATGAGGAGGAGGCAGGGTTATAACCTTTCTTTTATATATACACGGAAAAAAATATATTCAGTTTTTATTTATTTACAATGAATACTATCTTTGTTATCATTGTCTTTAATTTACAAATTTATAAAATTTTAGTCAAAATATAGGGACATAACAAATTAACATAAAAGTTAGTTCCCCTTCCCCTAAAAATGGACTCATCCGGAGGGCTATTCTATGGACTAAAACAAAGGGGGTATATACACAAACAATGGACTAGTCCCATGGGCAGAGTTCCATTTTAAGATAGGTTGTCGACACTCCGTCAGACAAGACCTTGCGCTTAGGATAAAAAGAAGTCAGTCCCTGTCGTCGTTGAGTGTAAGTAAAGATCGTGTTATTTCGGGCGCGGAAACCGCGATTCGTCTCACCGGCCGTGGTATTATCGAACAATACACGTTTATATAAAGACAGAGGGTGGCTGAAATTGTTTTTATTTAAACCTTTACAACTGAATTTACTCTTTTTAAGTTCTAGATTATTTTCCACGCAATAGGTTTTGCTGCAAAGGGCTACCATGCCCGTCCCTACAAACTCTTCCTTAAACAAACCAGGTTCGCGACGATCAAAGGATGCCGCCTCAACATGTTCTGTGCGAGGAAACCATTGATTTTTTTCCCGTTCGAAAAGGGGTTTCATGTCGGGTTTAATTATGTCCTCAAACTTTTCAGCTGATATGGCCATATATAGAGAGTCTGTGTCCATGGACATCAATTCGAAATCTTGACGGCTACAAAATTTATCGACGCAGTCATAATAGAACTCGAGCATACGCAGCTTGGCATATTGAAGCACGAAATATCCTATTTGTATTGGTAAATCCAAGTTTATGCGCGATTTAGCAAGCTCGATTTCGAAATGATTATTATCGAGTTCGGTCAATGTTCGGAACCGTTTTTTAGAGGCAAAATATCCTGCTTTTTCTTTCGTCGCACAATAAGTAATTTCCGTGTGTTTTTCTTTATTCATGATCATTGATCCGTACGCGCTGTTTCCAATGAGTTTCATGGTATCCGCGAATATTTCAAAACGCGGATCACTATCACCGCGACGACGAGCATTGCTAACTTCGCTCGTAAAATCGGAAAAACAGGGGCTAGGGGTGAATTCTATAACTTGATATATGCGCGAAACGATAAGACCGTGTTCTAAATACCACTTTAAGAGAGGGGTAGCCAGTAGAATTTTACGCGCGCGCATACCTCCGACTAATAACCGTCGCGGTTTTTCTCCCAAATTTAATTTTTGTGCCGTTTCCTGAGAATATGGTCCGAGAGCTTCAAATGGAATTTCGGCATTGCAAAAAATGGGGGACATTTCTTGAAATTTGTCTAAAAGATGATCGGGGACGTGTATATCGACTTCTGCGGCGCCGAATATTTTTTTCTCGCGAATGGCGGTTAAGATTTCAGACTTGGTTAATGTCGTTCGGTGTTCTAGAGGGCGCTTTCGGCGTTGCTCTTCAATAAACCTTTTAAATTCGGGGGACGTTTTTAACCAATTCTCGTATTGGCATTCCCAGGTGATTTCTATGTCATAGCCTTGGTTTTTAATGTATTCTGTTCGCTCTTGATCGCGTTTCTGAACTTTTTTTTTATCCTTTAACCATTTAGGGTCCTGAATGTGAGCAGTCAGAGCGCATTTGTGTCGATGAAAGTAGCAACCGTTAAATTCGTATACTTTTTTCTCTGCTCTAGAATAACCGTCTACTCGATACGGACCAATACGGAACTCTTTGCCCGCGTTAAAGTAATGATCAATATTGACACCTCGACTGTGTCTTAACCATTCTAAGAAATACAAAGCTTTTAAATAGCGATCTCGTTTGACTAGCTGAAAATTGTTTTCTTCTTTTCTAATAGTAAAAGGACCGGTGGGCATGTCTTGACTGAGTGCCCATAAATACAAGGCATTAGCATCGTACCCTACGATTTTCTTACAAATTTGGTTGACATTTTTCCGAATGAATGTTTTATACCTCTCGTGGTAGCGATGAAAAATGATGGCGGGACGACCACACATTCCCTTCCGAAAGATACTATACAAGTCTTTATTTTGGGCATCAAAGCACGCGAAATGTCC